ACCCCGTTGGGGTGGAAGATAAAGTCCCAGATGTAATCGTAATTGTAGACAGTCGAAGTCGTCCGCAGCACCAGCACGTGGCCCTTGAGTCCTGCATAGAAGTTGAAGCCACCGCTGAAGTTGGAGTCAAAGTGTCGCCGGAGGGGAAGCCCTGTGGGCATCTCGAAGAGACAGAGGGCTCGGGGGTAGTGGACGGGGCCATCGGTGTCATAGTAATGGAGGGCATCCATGAAGGTGGCCGTCTCTGGGCAGTCGATGCCAGGGGCCAGTTCATGAGTGACACTGCCCAGGCCCCAGCCCACGTCCAGGTACTTGGTCTGCATGCCCGCAGGCGTGTGTCCCCCGTAGAGTGCCGCGGCCTCCTGCACGCTCACCTCGTAGGCTACGCGTTCACCCCCGAAGCGCACGTCCAGGACCTGCAGCCCGGAGGAGGAGCGCAGCCGGAAGGCGAAACTCCAGCCTTGGTAGAACACGGTGTTGCCCTCCAGCCTGTAGCGGGGGCCCTGGGGCTGGACCAGGCGGGGGCCGTTCCTCGTGATGGAGCTGGGGAAGGACCCACGTGGCTCGTAGAAGGAGAAGAGGGCCGACTCCGGCAGGCTCTCTCCATCTTTGCCCTTGGCCAGCGGGTCCTGCAGGACCTCCACGTCCACCTCTCCGGCAGCGTACTTTTCTGCCAGTTCCTCGGGGCTGCTGTAGAACTTCCCGTTGTACCAGACCTGCTCCACCGTCCAGTCTTGGGCGTTCATGCTTCCATGGTCTACGAGGAGCTCCAGCCCAGTGGGGTGCAGGAAGTAGCCGTCCATCTGAAGTTGCAAGATGAACCAGGTGCGGCGCTGGCCGGAGGCCACGCCCCGCGGCGCCACGTCTGTGAACGTCAAGCACTGGGAGTGGCAGTCTACAAATGAGAAGCCCGTGGTGTGTCGGAAAAACTGGTCCAGGGGCTTGGTGGCCTCCTGCAGGGTGCGGCTCAGGAGGGCATACTCCGTCCCAGTGATGGGCCTGGAGGCCCAGGAAGCCTGGTGCCTGGGCTTGCGGGGCAGGTCTCGCATGTACTGGGGACTCGGCAGTGGCCCCACAGCAAACTCGGTGATGTTGGGATGCTCCTGCGCTCCGAAGAAGATGATGACCCGGGCTTCCCGAGCAGGAGGTCTGTGACCTTTATCCAGAAACTTGAGCACATGGTGCTTCTTGGGCAGAAGCATCTCAATGAGGAACACGGAGTTCTTGGCCACGGTCAATGTTGCAGACGATTCCAGCTTCAGCTCCTTCTGGGACCAGAGGAAGCTGTGAACGGCCTTCAGCTCTTGGGCGCTCAGGTCGGCAAACACCCCAGCATTGGTGCCCGAGGTCCTCGAGGAACCGTCTGCCGTGGCCAATGTCTGCAGGACCAGGATGGCGGCGCCGGCCCAGCCGAGGGCCAGGGTCTTCCACCCCATAGCTCTGGAATGCAGTAGAAGAGATGAACTTAGTTGTTTTATGGGAGAAAGTGGGTTTCCACCAGGCTGAGTCTTGGACTGTGACGTCCCTTGGCCTCGTGGTTTGCCTGCAGACTCACTCCCTGGTTTGTCCCCTCGCAGTCGAGGCAGCCCTTGGTGGCAGTGGGGACCCACGCAGTTCCCAAGGCTGTGAACCTAGAACTGCCCTAAAAGTCTAGTTTAAAAAAAAAAAATCCGTTGATTCTATTTCTGCTCTCTCGTCCCTGGTCTGGAACCTCTTTAGATCCTGTGGCTCCTCTTACCTATGCAAACTCCTTTCCCCTCCTCTGTGCCTTGTCACTACCCGGACGGGCTCCGCTCTTACCTCTCCGGCTTTAGATTACCTAGAGACTCACAGCGCCCTCCGCAGGCCACAATGTGCTTAGTGCACTATGGGTATGGACAGCAAGACTGTATTTCTGATACACAACACTATGTTTTTTATAGAGATAAAATGTGAAATTTAGTGTAGAAGTTCAAAGAGTCGGCTCTGGAGTCAGGTTGCCAGGGTTCGCGGGGCTGGTCCGTCCCAGCAGTGGGACCAGCTGTGTGACCTTGGGCACCTTGCTGAAACTCTCCGGGCCTCCATTCTCTCAACCGTGCAATGGAAATAACCATGCCAGTACCCACCCCTGTGATTACTGGGAAAAATCAGCTGGACCACAGGGATAAAGTGTTTAGAACAAAGTGTACCTTCTAGGAAGCACTCAAGAAACACTGCTGACCCCTCTTCTTGAAGTCAGCCGCGTGGATCCACTCTGGGAGGCCAGCGCATTTACACTTCTGAGTGGTGCAGAGGAATCTGACCGGTTAGGCCGTAGGCCTGCGGCTGCACAGGGGAGGGTGAGAACAGGGTGGCCAGTCCCGCCCAGGCCTCTCGAGCCCCTCCTGGGGCCCTCAGGTTGTGACCACTTGACCCTCAAAGCCTGAGGAGGACACCTCAGGGTGCTGTCATCCCAGCTGGCCATTCAGGGGAATGCCCTTTCCCCTTCCATTTTGAGGGGAGGCTGCAGTCAGGATCTTCATGTCATGGACCATCCCTCAGAGCTGACCATACAGTCCCTCCCCCTGGTTCCTCGTCTTGTCCCCTGACACTGATGGGAAGGCCCAGGGATTCATGCGATTTTCTCTCCGGCCTGAAGGGATGTGGGGTGGGGGTCGGGGTGGCTGTAGGGGCTGCCGGTGAGTCCAGAGCCAGCAGAAAGACATGCAGTGAGCTCTTCTTCCACTATTAAACTTTGGTCAAGCTTCTTTTTTTTTTTAACTAGACTTTTAGAGCAGTTCTAGGTTCACAGCAAAATTGAGAGACATGCAGAGCAATCCCTCTGCCTCTTGCCCGCCTCCCCGCCCCACCACACACGTAGCCGCACGCACTGTCAGCATCCGCCACCACAGCGGCGTGCTCGTTACCATCTGTGAACCTACAACGACATGTCATTATCACCCAAGGGCCATAGTTCACGACAGGGTTCACTCTTGATGTTGTACATTCTGTGGGGCTCGTCAAACGTGTAAGGCCATGTAGCCATCATTACAGTGTCATATGAAGCAGTTTCACTGCCCTAAAAATTCTCTTTATGCCACTTGTTCATCCCTCTCCTCCTCCTTCCCCCGAAAACCCTGGCAACCACTGATCTTTTTACTGTCTCCATAGTTTTGGCTTTTCCAGCATGTCATGCAGTCGGGATCAACAGGATGCAGCCTTTTCAGACTGGCCTCTTTGACACAGTAACATGTTTTTAAGTTCCTCTGTGTCTTTTCGTGGCCAGCTCCTTTCCTTTTTTTATAACCTCTGATGAAATAAAAAGTGTATTTTAAGGCAGGACAGGAACAAATTAAACGGAAAACTCTCTCCCTGGGTTTGGCTGGGTCTCTTCCCTCCCTCCCCGCCCCATGTGGAATGTGCATCTGTGTTACACGTTAACCAGAGCCTCAAAGGTGGGAGGACCTGATCCACTCACTAAAGATTAATTATTTTCCTTTCTTCCGACGCTAACAATGTAACGTCTTAACTTCTTTCCCAGCGTTTAGAGGATTGTGGTGACTTGCTACGTGCCTTGTTGGTGCTTACCTGGACTATGCATCCTCGGTGAACTTTATGTACAATATCAGGATGTCATTTTGATGTAGGTCCTTTTTTTTTTGTTTCAGAAATGTATATGACTGTGCCTTTGATTTCTGACTGGCAGAACAGTCCTCAGAGCTGAGAACCTGCTTCCTGGGTGTTCATCCTCAGTTTGGCTCAAATAAAATTCTCTTTTTTTCTTCTCAACTTGATAATTAATAGTTAATTTTCTTGGCGTAGTTGGCAGAATATCAGAGACACCCCCAAGAGGACGCGTGGCGTCCACCGTGGACCGGTGTGCTGTGCCAGCACCGGCGTTCTTAGCTGCACCCACTTGTTGGTGCTCCTCAGGGACCTTGCTGAGCTCTGCTGACATCCAGGCATCATTGCTTTAAATGATGTCCTGAATTCTACTTGAGCTGTTTTCCTTGGGACTTGGGAGTCCCAGGGGTGGGTAACAGAACATTTCCCGTATATATCCCGTAGGCAGGGACCTAGGGGGACCTTTGGAGTGAACTGGGTTGGCTGTCCTTTTTAAAAAGTTGGTTTAAATGGGGAATATTACGTTTATATAGTCTGAACAAACTGTTTGCTAGAAATGAGAGACTGCTTAACTCCAAAGAAAAAGGGACATCTGCTCCTTCCGGCCACAAGGCATTGTCAGGTGACTAAGGACCCAGCGGAAGTGTCTGAGAATCAGTCCTCATGATGTGTAGCGGTCCCACAGAGGATCTCTCTACAACCGCTAAGTAAATTCTGCTCTCCGGGGAGGCATAATAGAGACTGATCCCCGAGGGCTCAGAGCACCCCCAGCAGTTTCAGACTGTCGGAGGGAGGAACTGAGACACTTAAGAGAGTTGAACCAACCCAAGGGTAACTCCTTGGGGAGCTGGACACACAATGGACCCACCACACTGCCCTCAGAAGTTTGTTCAGATCCTGTCTGAATTTGGCTACCAAGTTAATAATAGGAAACTGTGCCTCTAAGGCTGAACAGCTCCTGGATGGGTAGCAACCCACTGGAATTCCAGCTGGCATCGTGTACAGTTGGAACAAAGCCAATGCTTGTAAGCACTTATCTTAACTCTTAAATGGCCAGATGGAGCTCTTTTGACATTCTACCGAAAGCCAGCTTGATAAAACACCTTTCCAAAATTCTGACCCCAAGACAATAAAAGTATTCCTAGGAGAAAGCTTGAAATTATAACTTGAAATGTGAACACAGCCCACATCATCTGAGACTACAGCCTTAGCTCAATCAGTAGACTTAAAATAAAAGGGAGGAAAAAAAGAGGGAAAGAGATTCTTTAAAACTCAAGCAGGAAAATGTTGATACCTCTGTCGGTGTGTGTCTGGATATATGTATGTCTGTGCGTACATTATAAATATGCTATGTCCCTATCTCCTTTGATAGAGTTATCAAAGTTAATTTGTAAAAGAGCTCTGACTTAAAAGTAAGTGCTTACTAC